GTTATAACTCTAAAGCACTAAGGTAAGTGTTTGGTGGATTAATCTTTTGTGACTGTTAGTTTAGTTCATGAATTTTTGAATTGTTGCTCATATGTCTCATATACACTCTGTTGGAAAGTATTTATAATCTGCCTTTGGAGAGGACTTATTGGAATTCTGTTTTGGAGACACCATGTTCAAAATTTTGGTAGCATAGTCATGTGAACTATGATTTTCTGATTCTGATTTTTTGTCATGCTCATAAACATCATGCATTAATCATATTGTCATGTGTGTGAAGCAAATTACAGCATAACATGCATCATTTGGAAACCGTAAGATTATGAAAGAAAGCATATGTTTGAGCATCCATCAGGTAACAGGGAGAAGGAACCGTGGCTCAGTTTACATAGGCCTCAATTGGAATTCCCCTGCTAGGGCCAAATGGAATCTCTATTGAGTTTAGTTAGCTAGTATGTGCACTTTAGAGCTATGAACATATAATATTCTGGCGTTATATACGCATTCTGTTGCACTTTAGTATCTGTTCGGTAATTATTTGAGGATGTGACAATTTTGGAAATTCTGCATCTAAATTAATACTGTTGCATTATTGGTTTTTCTATCACACTACTGGGATTTTTCTCACCCCTTCTGGGGCTCAAATTTTATAAAATTGCAGGAGGAAGAAGAAGTATTTGATGCAGTGTATTCTTGGAAAAATTCTGCCTGAATCACTACTGTGTCACTGCTTTGATGGATTTGAGTGTTGAATGTTTGTAGTTGATGTAATCTTAAGGAGATTGGTGTACCCAGAATTTATGTCCTGTTTTATTGTGAAACATTTTTGTAGTTTGAATTTTTCTGTTTTGCATGGAACTCGTATAGCTATGGTACTTGATTGCCCAAAACAATTTCTGCCTGTACTAAATTTGGATTTTAGCACTGATTTAGCATGCATCTTGCGAGTTCTGTTTCCGGGGCTACAGACCTCCGAATGAGATAAATTTTAATGTGCGTAAAGCCCCAGATGTCTATTTTCAGATTATATAAAGTCCATTTCAAAAGCTGGTAAGTTCGATTTTATGTGATTTTTGCAAGACAGACAGGTTTTCTGGAAAATTAACGATTTCAGCATCAAAAGCTTTTATGAAATTACTAGCTGTTTTCTTTATGAAACCCGATTTCAAGACAAGATTTATTTGCGACTTCAAAATGCATTTTTTAATTGAATACGTTAACGTTGCGACTCTAATCGGTTTTAGCAGGCATCTCACTTGGATGCATACAGGGGAGGGTGTCACATAATATATTTCCATCTTTAGAAATTTCCTCTATATCTTGTGTCAGGTATCAAACGCTAGCACATTTACTTCAATTTTTATTTCTAATTTCTTGTTCAATAATTTCCACAGGTGAATATTTTGACACTGATGAACAATTCAAAATTAAAGAAAGCACAGAAGGGCCAAGATGAGAAAGAGTGTCATGCTTAGGTTGCTGAATGCCTGAAGAAGTGCCATAAAATCAATGGAAAGATATTTCCAAATGATGTGCCTGCTATCTCTAAAGAAACAACAGAAACATGTGGTGCTCTTTGGGACATCTTTCGGAGGGAGGATACTGAAAAGTTAGAAGCATATCTACGAAAACATTCTAAAGAATTTAGATATCTCATGATTAATTTTATGTGTTGCATCAAACCGAAGGCTACCATCATGTAACCATGGATCTTTCAATTGCTTGTATTGTTTAGCTACAGGGAGGCAAAACAAGCATTTGCATTACTTAAATAGCAATGTTAGCTTGCCTTCAACTTCACTGACCTACTTAAATATCACAATTGAACATTAAACTAACATGAATTACAATCTAGTAAAGGTACTTCCTCCTGCATGGCTGCATTACATATATAAGGGCTGGGCAAGTAGCTGCTCTTGCAATGACAATGTAACATGATTAGAGAGACATGGAACCAAAAAAGAAAGAAAGAAAGAATTAACCCAAAACAGAAAACAACAGACCTGGTTACAAGGGAAAATGTCAGCAATGAGCTTCTTGTACCTCTTGACAGGTTGTCTTGACCTTGCTCTCAAGGAAGGGCAAAAGAAACAAAGATTGCCACAAGCAGGCAGAACTTGACGGGAAACAAATAAAGCGCAGCAAAGGAAGAGGTACAAAATTTTGACTACACATATGTCATGGTCAAGTGAGGACTCTTAATCTATATAACATGGATTAGGAGTCACATATTTTTGTTGTAAAGTTGGCATTATTGACGTCCTCGTGAGTGCACGCAAAGCTTACTTTAAGATTATGCGATCTAGCATTGTGGCTCTTCTTCATGCACGACTTCAACTTAGGGACCTGCTCGAAATTATGGATGATTCCACCTTGTGACTTAAACAAGATAAATATCAATATTTCACCTGAATGAGGAACTGAGTTAATTATAAACAACAACTGATTATGTTCCAGAACTTAAAAACTCTAGTGAACAAAATATTGAATCTTATAAAGAGAATTAATAAAAGGAACACAAATGTAAACCCCAAATGCAATTATATTCAGTTAAATAAAGCGAACACAACGCAATTAAGCTAAAAAAATTCATTTTCCGAACAAAAAATATACATATATATCGATTGTGCTAAAAATAGAGCTTATCCTTGCTTCTTATGCTTTGGTGTTCATTAATTTCTATTCTGGTTAGGTTGTCCATCCAATTCATGACCAATGTTTTTATTTGACTTTGGAGCACAAGAAGAAGCTGAAGGAAGAATTTGGTTAGTAGTTAGTTCATAGAATTGCAAACAACTTGGGCAATGCCTACAATTAGTTATTTACCCAAATCTTAACTTTCAGGTGTAGAACCTTGGACGTTTGAGCAGAAACTTGAGAGGCAGTATTTATTCCTGCTGGATGTCCACACTAAGTTAGGAATCTCAAGGTAAAACTTCTCTTTGACACATATTGGATTGCCTCATTATCACATTTTTCTTTATTGTACCCCTTTAACTCTAATTACAATAATGGAAATCTTGCAGTCATGCACTAAAGTTGCTTCAGATTTTGTGTCTCCTGAGAATATTCATATGTGCTTGCGATTAAAGGATGAATTTCGTCGTCTTCCTAGGAATCACAAGGCGAGGGAAGATAAGCTAGAGGTGATTTTCTTCTATAACATATTTCCTTATCTACTTTTATCCTCCTCTCTTCCTTAGCTTCAACCTACTTAAGTTGTATAAGAAATTGTGATGTTAGCCAACATTTTCTTATTTTATGTTTGTTTATGGTGGATGATTTTTAATGAAACAGATAAAGAAGATGATCGTGCATGCTGTAGATCAAATAGTCAAGGAATTAGAAGCATTGGTGGAGTGTTCTTGAGACTGGCCTATATGCTGCTTCCATATCTGCTATGATTTTTTTAACCTCATAGTTCAGATTTTTATTCAGATAGAAAATTTTGTGTTGGGTAATTTTTCATTGGAGGCTTAATTTGATTTTTTTTCCTTGTTATTCAATCATGTATATGTATACATACACAAATAAATAATTTTCTCTCCATCTTCCTGCATTTGTATTGCCCCTTGGGTTTTTGTGCTCTATGCACATAACTCTTCAGTACATTTTTATTATAAAATTTCACAGTTTTGAAATTAAACAAATGCATTACATTATAAGAATAACTTTGTTGCCAGTGATAAATGTGATTGTAAGAACCCGCACCGTTAAATTAAGAATTTAATTAATTAATTATGAGCTTAAGTGAATAATTTCATAATTGACCTTAAATAATTATGGTAAGGTAAGAATAATTAATATAATGGCTTAATAATGCTGAAAGTCGCTTTTCAGACGAAAAGTGCAGATACCGATTCTGCTCTACGGTATAATTATGTATCGATGAAGTATCACAAAAATTATAATAAGTGCATGAATATTCCTAGAATAATATATAGGACTGGTATAACAAGTTTCAAGACAAAATAATGAAAACTGGTGTCAAGACTGATACCGGCTACGTAAAAGCGCGTACCGGCAAAGTGTTGCGAAAAATAAAATAAAAATATGACAAATCTTAGGAAAATGGCTAGGTTCTGAATTCAAAGTTTGGGATTAAAATGATAAACGTAGCCATTAGTTATAATACAGTGTGATTAATCTTAATACGCCTATATATACTTAATGGCACATATTTCTAGGTCAGAAATCTCACACTCTACGTGCCTCTTTTCTGAATCTTGAGCTTTCCATGTATTTACCTTTTTGTGTTGGGTATGTATTTATCTATTTGTTATTTATCTATTTGTTGATGAAATATAATTAAATATTCCTAAAACTACAAGAATAAAAGAAAAAATAGTGGTTACATTATTTTTTTATGAACGACGTAGCTTTGAATTCCTCAATGTACCGGAGGATACGTCGGAGCGGAACTCTTTCCGTCTAGGATGCACATAGGATGGTTTCACCCCTCATCTATCTGGATAGAGTTGTTGTTCCTATTGATTTGGTCTGCATAGCATTAACAAAGTATAAGTAACTCGCAGTGTAAAACTTATTTACAAATAATTCATACTAATTAAATTTTTAATTTATTTTATTTATAAAAAACTTGTATTGATTGAAATGTTGCTCATCCATATTACTAGAATTATTTGATTTACAGTTTTATCTCAGAAATAATCACCAGACTAGTTAAAAGTTTCAAAGTACTTGACAAGAGGCTTTGTGGGTGGGACAGAAATACTGATTTCTGATTATGCTCGCATATATTTCAGAACAAAGAAAATGAAGACTTTATTCAGAAATTATTGAACACCAAATATTCTGTTAAGTGTGAAATGATGTGCAAAGTAATTTTCATCATTCTGAATCAACTAATATATGAGGCTAACTAGCAACTTCGAAAGAATTCTACTCAAAATGCTGAAGCAGAAACAGATAAGGAATAGAGAAGTAAAACTAGAAGAAAAAGAAGGGCATCTGTTTAAAATTATTTTCATGACTCAGAAAAAAAAATACATATACGAAAGAAATCAAGGAAATTTTTTTACTAACTAACCATCTCTAAAGAAATTCATCAAGGAGACTTCTAACTTTGTCACTATTCACTCTATGGCAATTGAAGTCACTTCACATCAATTATTTATTTCACAGTACCTCGTGCAAGCAAGTTTTAGATCAGGAAACCGATTATTACCTCATCAACAAATTCATGACTCGGGAGTGCACGACGCTTTTTGATGGCTACAAGCACCCCGCCTTGAAGTAAACCCTTGTAAACTTTAAGTGGGTCCAATTAACTTGTCACCTCAAATTATTTATTTATTTTTTTAAAAAAAAAACTTGTATTTATAAAAAAACTTATCCAGAGTGTTAACTAAGAATTCTTATTATATTATAACAAGTTATCAAAAAAACTTTACTAAAAGAATCTAATTAGGCTAGTATGGTTCGAAGAGATTATGGTAGTATGTGGTTATGAAATTTTTGCTTAAAGAGAAAATCTGCACACGTACAACATATGTACAATCTGTTTCAGATTCATACCTCTTGATTTTTTTACACCATCCTCCCAGCTCTTCGACTGGTGCATCTATACAAGGTAAAAATTAAACATCATTATGCAGCAAATCATGAATGTACTATTATTTTTACTAGTAAGCACAATGCTAAATCATGATGGACTATAATAATTATGGCAATTCTAATGGTATTACTGTACTCACAACTTACATGTATGTATGCGGAAATCAAATCTTGTTTCTGAGCTTGATATAGAGTAGTCATGACAAATATCCCTATTGATTCATTGGATCCAATATAAAAGTTTGTTTAGTGGCATCCTGGAGAGAAGAAAAATGTAGGATCATGGGCTCAAATACCATTTTTCTCAGGTTCAAATCTAAAAGTAAGCAAATTCTAGTTCTTTGGATTTAAGACCAGCATGTTGGGAAATCCCTTCTAAAATATCATAGCTCCTCAAAGATCAGAGTTCTTCAATAAATTGAAAGAAAGGCCTCTGTCACACATATCTTATATAGACTAATATCAGATGCACACTGACATAACAAACAGAGGATCTGATTAGCCCACATGTCATAATTCAGAGAAAGTAAACAGGGGAAAAAGAGGATTGTACAGTTGATGAGAACAAAGGATAACATCTTTAAGTGGGAACAAGAGAAGGGAATTATGATTACCATAAGCCCATCTAAAATAAGAAGCACATTTATAACAATACAGGTTAGAGACCCATCATACAAATGTTTAAACTTCTGTAATAGGGCTCTAAGGTGACCTCTCTTCAATGGTTGAATTTCTAGATTTCAATCTAACAATCCTAATTATCAAGAAGCTTTAGATTTGATCTCCATGGTATCTTCACTAGATGTAAAAACATGGAGCTTAGAGTCTGTCAGATTTTTCAATTGTAAATTTGTTTTCCTTTTGAAAATTTGGAATCCCTCGTACATTACAACTTCTTTTTGGAAGTTTAAAGCTACATCTACAATTGAGGTTTTCATTTGGACAGCAATACTAGTAGGGTTTATACTAATGGTCTGCTGCCGTTGCATAGGCCACATAAGGCCTTGTCTCCAAATGTCATTGTCTAAATTATGTGTTAAGAGAATTTGGAGTAAACATATACAAGAATCAACGTACACCATCAAAATTTATGTGTTTTTCGTTAAAAGATTCCATAGTCCATAACTTTGGGATGCGTGAAGGATTTTTGGAGGCATAATCGCATAGTTTTCCTATTTTTCTATCATTTGGCCCTTCATCCTGTCAACTCATAAATAAAATAAAAAATCAATACAGCAGGCATTTTGTGAGACAAATACAAGTACAAAAAGAACAAATAAGTAAATTAAAAGAGACATATGTATCTCATGATTAATTTTATATGTTGCATCAAACCGAAGGCTACCATCATGTAACCATGGATCTTTCAATTGCTTGTATTGTTTAGCTACAGGGAGGCAAAACAAGCATTTGCATTACTTAAATAGCAATGTTAGCTTGCCTTCAACTTCACTGACCTACTTAAATATCACAATTGAACATTAAACTAACATGAATTACAATCTAGTAAAGGTACTTCCTCCTGCATGGCTGCATTACATATATAAGGGCTGGACAAGTAGCTGCTCTTGCAATGACAATGTAACATGATTAGAGAGACATGGAACCAAAAAAGAAAGAAAGAAAGAATTAACCCAAAACAGAAAACAACAGACCTGGTTACAAGGGAAAATGTCAGCAATGAGCTTCTTGTACCTCTTGACGTCTTGACCTTGCTCTCAAGGAAGGGCAAAAGAAACAAAGATTGCCACAAGCAGGCAGAACTTGACGGGAAACAAATAACGCGCAGCAAAGGAAGAGGTACAAAATTTTGACTACACATATGTCATGGTCAAGTGAGGACTCTTAATCTATATAACATGGATTAGGAGTCACATATTTTTGTTGTAAAGTTGGCATTATTGACGTCCTCGTGAGTGCACGCAAAGCTTACTTTAAGATTACGCGATCTAGCATTGTGGCTCTTCTTCATGCACGACTTCAACTTAGGGACCTGCTCGAAATTATGGATGATTCCACCTTGTGACTTAAACAAGATAAATATCAATATTTCACCTGAATGAGGAACTGAGTTAATTATAAACAACAACTGATTATGTTCCAGAACTTAAAAACTCTAGTGAACAAAATATTGAATCTTATAAAGAGAATTAATAAAAGGAACACAAATGTAAACCCCAAATGCAATTATATTCAGTTAAATAAAGCGAACACAACGCAATTAAGCTAAAAAAATTCATTTTCCGAACAAAAAATATACATATATATCGATTGTGCTAAAAATAGAACCAAAAACGAGAAAACTAAACCATTTCCAATTTATAAAAATAAAATAGGACTTACACTTTGGGATTATCAGCCTTTCTTGATTACTTCACCTAAGAAACATGAAATTCAAACCAAATAGAGAAGAAATAAGAAAAAAGATCAGAGATCTGATACAAGCAGAAATTGAAGAAATGCGTTGAGTACAAAACCCTAACTCGCATATATAGCATCGAGTCATGTTATAATATAGGGCCATTGTCGGAATTCTGTTCGCATCAAAACAGAAAATTAGGAGAGATGAAAAGGATCGTTTACTTTTTATCGGAAAGAATCGTTGAGCTGGTTAACCATGAATCCATTGTCGGAAATGGTGGAGGTGGCATAGATTTAGGTGCCGGAGAACATATGCAAAACCCTAAAGAGAGAAATCGAAAAAGAAATTATTAAATAGGGGATGAAAAAGCGAAGAATGAATAAACCCAAAATGAGGCTTTTCTTATATTGTTTGCCTGAGAACAACAAACCTCAAAATTGGAGAGTGAAAGGAGATTCAAGCCAGTTAGCGAGCTTCTAATGTAAATCCGTGAGAAGGAATGATTTTTTGCCTTATTAGATTTTTAATTGTAGTTTGATAGATAGCTTTTACGAAGAATTCTGCACTCGTATTCCCCCTCGATTGTGAAACTGACGTTATGAAGACGCGTAAGATTTGAATTACTTTAAATATCAAATCTCATATTTAAGATACCTAATGTAAAGTTAAAATAAAATCAGATTCAGTTAAATCTAATAAAATTTAAGCGAATTTTATGCAACAATTTTTTCTATTGCAAATATAGATTTTAAATTAAAAGAATATCAAAATTGAATCAATTCCCTCTTCAAATCTTTTTGAATAAAAGATTTTATTCATAAATCAAATTAATTCCTAATATTAATCACTCAAAAGTCAAAACATCCTCGTAGACATAACAATTATATAAAAATATATTATCACCATTTTCCCCATATCAATCTATAATAATCATATTAGAATTCAGACTTCTCTCGCCAAGATCTTATAAATCTGGAAAGCTTTTAATGGTTTATTTTCAAAATAATTAGGATAAACAAATATTGATTTTGTTACTTTTTAAAAGCAGACGTTAAAATTGTAATCAAATACCATTATATTATCAGAATATTATTTATGCAATTTGGAATCTTTAAATTGAGATTTTGATTTGGTTTTGCTTTAGCCTAGAGGTCTTATTATATAATCAGTGCTTCT